TTATATTTTATTCCTTCCTAGTTAAATTTACACTTTTTAATTTTTTATATTTATTTCCTATCTTATTCATAGCCTTTTCCTTTTTTTTTTCTTTAGGTCACGAGCAGTTGTCTAAGCATTTCACTGCATATCGTACTGTGTATGACTGTGTACGTGACAAATAAAATTTGAATTTGAATTTGAAACTGTGTGTCACAAAAATAAAAGGCTGCAGTGGAAGCTGGTTCTTCGAAGTGGTCTGACACCAAGGGCAGAAGGGCTGCTCTGAGATCCTTCCCTTGCTAGCATGTGAAAACCGGTTGAGCTGCTCTGTCTTGCTTTGTTAATAGAAATAAGTCTAAACCAGTGGGACCTGTGGAAGTGCAGGCCCCGCTCAAGTCTAAACTTGTTGTTTTGGCACGATGCTTTCTCAAATGACACTCAGACCCTTGAGGTTTTTATACCGTGTGTACATTGGAAAATAAAACCCATCGCTGGTTTGTGTTATGGTTTCAGGGGGGTGGGGGAGCTAATAAGATCCACTCAAATCATTTTGTTTTTTTAATGGAATAATTTTGTAGTTGTGTATTAACAGAAACAGTTTTCTTTAAAATGCACCTGTACACCTGTAAAATAATGTATTCAACAGTTAAGCTGCAAACTCACTTATTCCACAGTTGTGTTCCCAAGGTTTCTATGGGAAGGCTCTGAAACTGGTCTGATAAAACTCATCCAATTAAACAACACAAACATTTTTCTCATGACATACTTCAACTTTATTTATAAAGAAATTTGGTATACAGTCTTAAGCATTGGCTACAAAGAAAACACAGAGCGCAACAGAACACCAGCGATACCTACACAAGTTTGAATACAGAGCGAATTGGAGCCTGACTGAACTGCTCCTCATAATGCCTCAGCTGTTTCTACTTTACTGCTGATTTCGTGAGAAGCTTTGCACTCCTCTAAACAGTCTATGACATCCTGTTTAAGATTGCAAAACTGATGATCAACAGACTTCAGTCTTCCACTGTTTTTCAGCATGGACAAAACACATGTCTCCATCAGTGAGGAATTTTAATGTTCGTAAACATTTTAGCCTTTTAATACTTTCACAAAACTCAAAGTCAAACTTTAATCTCACAACCTAAATACAGTTTTGATAATCATTTGCCATTTAATCATGAAACATAAACTTTGTATGGCATGAATTCTGCTTGTGTAATGACAGCACAATAAACTCTCATTCATAAGGCATCAAAATTGAGAAACAAAAGCCCATACATGTCAAAAATGTGACGATAGATGCGTGATAACATACAAAAGCAAATCATAAGCAAAATAACTGATTAGTAAATATGAATCTTTGGCAATAGATGCTAGTCTTCACACTGCTGAAGAGTAATGGGTTGCAGTGATTTGGATGTATTCAGCAAGATCATAACAATAAATTGCCAATCACTGTTGATAATAATTTGATTAACTCTGTAAGACCCAACCCATCAAAAAATAACCAGAAAAAATTCTAATTGTTTTGGAACTGAGATGTTTAATAACCCTTATAACCAAATCCACATTTTCTGTGCTATATTATGTTGTTTATGAGATATTTATGAGATATTTTCTTTGTATCACATTTGATACATTGGGCGTTTTTGACAATTTTTTGTTAACAACAATGTTAAATTTAGACTCTTTTAAAAAAGAGTTTTGTCCATAACATTTTAAAATTATGGAAGGTATTGATTATGTTGATGAGAAAGAGGGCAAATATGATACAAATGCCATTATAGGGTTAACGTCAAAGATTTTTCAGCACATTAGGGGCCACAAATTTAAAAAGTTTCCAATAAAACGTCACCCTGAAAGCCAATAATGTTCCTGATATGTTCACATAACCTGTTTCTGAGCATGAAGAGGCAATATAGAAAAGATGTTAAATCAGTATTTGCCAACGGCATTTATCACAACTGCCACATAAACAATTGTGAGGATCAGGCCAGCAATACCGAGTCCCAAAGCCACATGGTTCAGTGTCCTGGCTGTCCTGCTGCTCCGCTCCGCTGACATCCGATCGCCAACGTGGTTGGATTCCCGAGTCTGAAAGTGATAAGGAAGAAAAACAAAGCAATTTGGTTGTTGTTGCTGCTCTTGGTTGTTGGACCTCCACTACACAGGATGATACTTGTTTAGAGCTTAAAAACCCAGAAAGCATATACTCTGATCTTCTGAAAATGGAAACGTGTGGAAGATGTAATGTTTTCCAGCAGTTTGAACATCGAGACATTCTACAACCGTCAACATTCATAATGTAAAGAAAATGATTAAATTACATAATAAAAAGAATGAGAAGTAGCATAGCCACACAAGCCAGTACGTTTTACATTATCTCAGTAAGAATTCCAAACCAAGTTTTCCTGCTTGATTATCAGAATCAGAATACTTTATTAATCCCGAAGGAAATTATAGGTTACAGCAGGCAGCACGCTAATGGCGCATGCACACTTACAAAGGAACCTTCTGACCAAACTTACACAAACAACACATTGGGAAGACATGTCAGAGAGGTAGGCTGATAGGAAAGGATGTGTATTGCTGTTCTGAGTTCTGGTTCAGGTTTTCATTTCCCTATTTGGAGTTTTTGGTTACATTTTGGCTTTAGTATCCTGGTAAGAACTGGTTGTGTCCCTCTGTGTTCCCTAATTTGGATTTGTGTTAGTGCGTGTGCCCCTGCCTCTATCATCATGTTTACTGTGGGGATTTCTATTGCTGTGTGGCATTGCTTGCTTGGTTCCTGTTTTACTTTCACAGTCAATTGTCGCTTCTAACCGTCGTGATGTTTTCCCATATCTCATTCCCCATTGGTTTCCTGTGAGTCCCACCTTCCTCTTCCTCCTTTCAAATTGCCTGTTGCTCCTCCTAATGTGCCTCAGATTTACCTTGCCTAAAGAAATTGTGTCTCATATGTACGTTTCTAGTTACATCCTTTGTTGGATTTTTGGGTTCTCCAGTTTAGTACAAACCCTTTTGTCAAGTATTGTTGGCATCCTATGATTCTGCACTCTGCATTACTCTGTAGTGGACATGCATCAAGTTCATTTTTTCTCATCAGCCATCTCATCTCATCCTGCATCCTGTTCCCTCTTAATGATGATGTAAACAAAGATTATTTTTCACTTTGGACAATTTGAAAACGGAGTATTGAGGAACTGATGCATGCATTTTCAGAAACACAAAAGCTTAGCAGTAACTCTTCACAAACAATCATGGCACAGAACACTCTAAATTACTGTACCAACTGTTATGTTGTTAGAGGTGTGGCAAGAACGTTTAACTTACGGAAAACAAGCTGACTGTTGAGACTGTGGAACAAATGGCCCATGACGGTGATTTGCACACACTGAGAAGGAACTCTATGTGATGATTACTACTTATGGGTAAACTGTAATTTGTGAGCAATTGCTGTTTAAGAGCCACACTGCAGAATATTTACTGAGGCAATATGAAGCACTCCCATCGTTTTATCTCTTAAATAGAAGTTTACCAAGAGTTTTAATCCAATATTTACTCCATTAAAAAAAACAAAAAAAAAAAACTTTTAGGCCACATGAAAACTTAAACTGACATGTTGGGACAACGTGGGAAACCACAGGACTTTTAATAAAATAGGAAACAACAGACCAGCTGTTGTTAGCATACTTTATTCAGTACTTAGACTGGACCACACCTATCCTCCATCTTTATTTTGAGCTCCCACTAAAAATGCTGAGGAGACATCTGCTTAATGTTTGTCTAATCCATTAGTTAAAAAAGTACCTTGAAGCCTTGAAGACTAATAGGGGCCACAATATACAAAAACAACATCACATTGCATTCAGTGACTCTTACAACTAGCAATCGAGCACAACCTCATCAAGTGAGGTTGTACACAAGAAAGCAAAGGGCTGTTTTCCTACAAACATTTAAGAACCACAGAGTCATCTCTGCTGCCAATTAGGGGGAGAAAATTCCTACAAAAGCCAAGGAATAAAACATTAAAATATATTCTTATGGTGATATTACAGCTGAATTATTTGTAGGAAGGAGCTTGGCTAACAGGATTAGACAGTCCATTCAACAGAACAGCAGGCCCAAGGGAAACAAACTAATCTGATAAAAACACAGCCCAAACTGGTTTGTAGAAAGAGCAGCCTTATACAGACTAATGCACTAGTGTCCCAAAATCGAGAAAGTGCTCTTTGAAAGCACGGCTCTCCTTTCCTTCTGACTAGCTTGCCTTGTTGTAGGTTAGACGGTATAATCTGTGTGCCGTCTCAATGGAGGGTTATCAGTGTGTCTGCCCGTGCTGCTTCTTCGTCTTCTTTCTGCATGGGATTTGGTAACATTGCAGCAAGCACAGCTGAACGCAGCTGATAAAAAAGTCTGCATAGTTTTGGCACAATGAAATGAAAGCAAAGTGACGGGCAAAGAGTAGTTTAGCTAGCTTATTCAGTGAGTTAATATTGTTCAGATGTTCTTGTTCTGTCTCTGTCTTTTCAACCTACAGTTTACCAACAGTTTAGAGATTTCCTGGAACATGTACAACATCCTCAACACATCTTAACCACACAAAATGTCACTCACCTCTGTGAGCCATCCGAATCTTGTGGTAAGGCTAACAGCAGGGGGGTTGAGTGCCATTTTGCTCTTTAACAGTTTTATGTATTTGTGGTTGAAACTCAGAAGCATATTTCTATGTTAAACACGTACCAACACGTACATACTTGTGATATATATGGAGTCATGGGAAAAAACGTTTTCACAGCCTTTTGGCCAAAGGTCAGACTGTTCAATACTCAAAGAAATTAAAAACTAATAATACAACAACAACAACAACAACAACAACAACAATAATAATATTAATAATAATAATAAAATTCAAGAGCCAATGACAGTACAATTAGAAGAAGCACAGCTTGTATGGAAGGGTTGCCAAAAAGAGTCTTTCCTCTCTAAAAATAAGATAGCAACAAAGCTTAGGTTTGGAATTTTCAAAAGACTCCTGGAAAAATGTCTTTTGGATGGACAAGCACAAAGTAGAGATGGTTGTTACGGTCGTAATGCACAGTGCCATGTTTGGGGAAAACCAAACGTGGCATATCAACACAAACAGCTCATACCAACTGTCAAGCACAGAGGTGTGGAGTGATGATTTGGGCTTGTTTTGTAGCCATAGCATTTGGGCATAGCTCTAAAGTGATTCTGTTTCCCACACTACGCCGCCACAGTAGAACTTGGGGTTTTTCATTATCTGCCAAATCACAAATCTGTCTGCGGGCAGGATGTGGACCTAAATGTACTCAGAATCAGGAAGCTAACAGTTGCGTTATTTGCTAGAACACTCTTTGTAAGAAGTAAACTTTACAAAAACAAAACAAGAACCTCAAACATGAACTAACTAGACTCAGGAAACTAAAACTAGGAAGCATAGACTAGGAGAGTGGAACTGGGAACCAGAACTTCACCAGAACACAGAGGGATGAGACACAACACGGAGAAGGTGTGGATGACGTTAAAGATGTGACACAGACAGAGAGAATCGCAAGGCTTAAATACACAGACTGACAACGAGAGGATAGGGAACAGGTGATAACACAGCAGGAATAAATCAGAGCTAACAAGACACAGGAAGCAACGCAGACCAAACGCAAGACACGAAAACTTAACACAAAGACATCAGACACAGCAACAGGGAGGGAACACAGATGTGGGACCAGGACAGGCACAGAGACACAGAACAGGAGCTAAAAATACAAAACAGAAATCAAACCCTAAGAACAAGAAAATCTTAAGAATTAATCTAAAACATAAGATAACAGTATTCAAAACCAGTGAGTCAACTCAGGACCACGACAAAATCTCAAATTGAACTTTTAAAAACCCAATTGTTTTTTTCTTCATTGCATTTGCAATTTAACTTGAAATAAAGATTGTATTTACCTGCATTATCATAATTATTTTATTATTATAACTAAGTGGCAGGTGAAGGTTCAGATAACACTGCACAAAAATAGGTGCTACACAAATACCTGTGCGTCTACTTAAGTGACAATTGTATGTGCTTTTCGCACTGCTCTGTCGCCCTGCTTTTAGATTTGTTAGCGATGACTTTAAATAAATAAACTTTTTACAGTCAAATATGCCAAAAGTTTTAGACATCAGAAAGGAAAGGGTTAAAACCGGATTCAGAACACTCAGTGATGAATTCTTACCTCACTGCACAGCTCTAATCAATGTCTTGCTAACCACTTATCATGGTGAAAACAAAATAATCTCTCATTAGATCTTTTTCACATCTTTCTACAGTTCTCCTGTCATCAACTGTTATTTCATTTAACCGAGTGAACGTAGAAAAGACGCCATTCACATCTGTCAAATAACAGTTTCAAGTAAGTTTAATTTAATGTTCAGATAGAAAAGTGGTTAATTCTCTTTAGAAAAAAAATATAATGTAAAAAAACAAAACAACCAAACAAAAAAAAAAAACAGCTTCTTGTTGCTATCAGGTAGTTGGTCACACTGATCTGAGTAAAGTCCTGTCGGAACAAATATTTACTTTGGCTTTATCGGTTTTGGTGACTACAGACAGTTTTACATGAAGATCCTTTTACAGAATCAAATCTAATTTTCTTTAGTGTTGATCAAACATTTTGCACTTTAATATTTAAATTTAGCTCAATCAGATGCTACAGAGTACCTGACATTACAGCCAATGACCAGTGTTTGCCTTTATGTTGCTCTCTGTAGCTCCGTGGTTAAACACAAAACTGTCTCCACTTTGATTTCAATACGTAACATGACAGTTCAGTAACAAGAAATGCCATGTTAGACCAAAAATAAATTTGTATCACATTTTAATGTGACACAAACTAAAATGTATGCCACATTTTAAGGTCAGCAAGAGGAAATAACCTTAAATTCCAGTTAAAATACATCACCCCTCTGCAGAAGAATTAGTTCATCTGAATGTTCACTCATTGTAAATAAGGGCTTCTGAAGAAAATGCTGGCATTTGGGGAAACAAAGAGCTGTTTGGTGATGCCTTCACAAAAGCAGGGAATGCCCTTGAGCTGAGGTAACTGACTGCTCGAGCCTGATTGCGACAAAAGTGGGGATTTTTGGAAAGCCCGGGGGCATGTAGAGCTACTGAAAGCTCCACAGTGCTTTTGTCATAAAGCAATTAATTCAGAAAAGCTCACAGAAAAGGAAGAAAAACCCGGAATTTTTCCATTAGAAAGAATGGAAACACAACGAATCACCCGTTACCTCAAATTGTTCATAACAACCAGCCACAAGCTGTTAAGCCCCCGTTGCAACTGGCGTTGTTGCTTTCAAAAACAGCAGCGTGCACCAAAACCTTTGGTCTTTATTCCGCTGGTTGTGCACCTCTCAGTGTCTGTCACCTCACACATGTGGTGTGGCAGGTGGTGCCAGGTCCAAGACATAAGTGTACCATGTCTTCAGGCACATGCTGCTGTAAATGCCATAAAATTGGTTTTACTGCTGTTTCAATGATTTGTCAGTACTGAAGCTAAGAGATTCACAGATTACACAGAGGCAGATTAAAAACAAAAATAAATCAGTGGGCATTCTCCATATTGCCAAAATGATGAGATCCTCATGACCATGTGATCACCAACAATCTGAAATTCCTCAGCTTGACAAAAGAGCCAGTGTCTATGAGAAGAACTGCATTATTATGTCTAATGTAGACCAAAATAACCAGCCCCAACACAGAGATACTGTTTCTACAAGACAACACCAGACAAAGTGTTAGACCCAGCGGCTGTGATATAGTAATGGAAAGAGGTGGGGCTGCTATAATGCCAACTTTGTGTAGGCACAGACAAAACAAGGGCCAGGATGCGTGAACCTGCAGGAGAGACGAGGAAGACAGAGAGGGAGACATCGAGGAGTTCATGTTCTTCCAGCACGAACTGAAAGTATGTCTATGCATGATTCGGGAGAGCAACAAATCATCAACCTTACATAAGTGCCCTTTATGAATGTGAGAGTGAATGAATAGTGGTATTGTAAAGCGCTTTGAGGGGTCCTGAAAAGCGCTATAGAAATGCAACCCATTATTATTATTATTAAATGCTAAAAGAATTACCTAAATAAGCCTTGAGTGATTAATTTTAAATCTTCTGCCTTAAAGCATAAACTTAGTGAATAGAGTTTGTTGATCTTATCGTGCCTTTGTCGTATCCCAGCATTTGATGCTAATTTTTTTCATATGTAATCCGCACTGGTCAATGTAGATGCCTTTTTAAAAATTGTATTTATTTATTTTTAAGCAATAATCCTACAATGTCATGTAATGGTAAAAAAAAATGTTTTAGTTTTATTCTAATTAGGTTCACAACAGCAACTGTGGGAAACTGTGGACAACCACAATGTAAATACTGAAAGATACATGTGTAACATTTTAAAAATAACAGCTCGGAAGCATCTGCTGCTTTGGAAGGTATGTGTCGCGAGTTATAATTAGCACAGCATGACATGTGTAGTCTCAACCATAACATTAACAAAACCTAGCACAGGAAATTTAGAAAAGCTTAAAAGCTTAATGACTCTGTTTTTTCATCTATTATTTTCTTTGTCTCAAGAAAGGCTCAAAAAAAACAAACCAGAAAATGCAGGGCAATATGCACGCTTTGTGTTTCTGTAGGCTTCTGAATACTGATGAAAAAATAAACATAATATAAAACATTGTGCACAGTCACAGAGAAGTGCATTGCAAGTCACTATGGCAAAAACATTTACATTAAAGCTTCAGAAGTCACCTTTATTTAAAAGTGATACTCTGCAGGAGTCTCTGCGAATGCAGTAAAATGTAAGGTTATTTTTGGCCTTTAACTACAAACATGGAGGAAGCAAGGGTGTCTTTTCCATCCTGTAAGAATCAACTACCACAACTTCCAGAGACAACATGCATGCAGTAGCACTCTAATGAGACCGTGTTAAAAAAGGCATTAAAGAGGGCTGTTCTGCTCATTTTCACCTCCATATTTCTATTCCTGGACTAATTGTTGTAACTTTGAACAGTTACTAAAACTAAGATTTGTTCTAGTACAGCTATAAAGCAATGGCTTTAAGCACATCCTGCTTTATAGCCCTTCTTGACACTAATAATGACCATATTTTACAAAATAATCATCATATTGTTTTCAATACCACTTAAAACCAGGGACCGGGACCATAAACTCATCAGAAAAGGCTTTACTGAGACCATGGATAAAGGGAGCCGTAGACTGTTTTCCCCATATATTCCTGTATAACAATATTTGTTACGACAAACATAAGAATTGCCCCCTGCTGGCTGGTATAAAGAATGCAACTTCCACATTGGATTCACTTTGAGACCTCTTTTATTTGCAGCCTACGGAAATTCTTTTTCTGTCCCTTTAAAGCCCCTCAGTAAAGACCTACTTTCTTTTAATTGCTCTTAATTTCAAATGACAATTTTTCAAATCTACAGTTATGTCTTGGAGCCAGAATCTCGACTCTACCAGAATACAAAGAGCCCAACGTCAGCAGCAACAACGATTACAGCAGGACATGCCTGTAAATATTGCATTCACTTATTGTGGTGGATTTAGTCCCTGAATAACTGGGATGGTTGTTGCTGATGATCTCTTTTACAGGACAACGCCTCTTTGCTGCTCACTGTGTGCCTCAGAGAGGAAATTATGTGGGTCTATATTCAATTACGCCGGTAATTACAGCTGCCTTCTTTCAAATGCAAGTGAAACCCTTGCACTGCAGAGCGTTTCACCACCAGCGTGTTCTTACTGCTGAGTTTTCCCACAAGGGTTATCTACTCTACTCTCTCTCTGTCTCTGTGAAAGTCACACCTGCTGACTCAAAAAGACAGCCAGCTGTTTTATGATGGCCACACCCAATGCAGCCACTACTTACTCTTCTCCCTGCCCTCTGCAAAGACATTCAGGTCAATCAAGTCCAAAACCAACCATTTAAAAAGCCATTCGTTCCAGATGGAAGTAAAAAGCAATACCCATCCTCCCCTCCTCAAGACTGTGGGTACAATATTTTTTGTTTTGTTTTTAAACATCTCGCTCTCATCTCTCGTGCCACATTGGATATGGCATCTTTACTTATTCTCCTAGTCTTTTTGATTTCCATGTGAATTCTTGTCACACAGTTATTGCACATCTTTGCATCTTTCACTTCTCCTTTTCTCTGCACAAATTTTTACACCTTCTGGTAACCTAAGCATGTTCTCTAATCTGGTTCCCACGCAGTAACATGTGGGTGTTAGATGTTGTTCTGAACAGCATGGTTTACTTTAATACCTCAATGAACTTTATACTGAATGTTTTAAAACTATGGAGGGCTAAATGTGCTAAAATAAAAATTAAAAAAACTGCGTAAATAATAAATAAATACATTAAATTTATCATTCATTAATTAACATTTCAATTTGTTTAATTAAACATATCTTTAAATATTCCACTTTTTAATCAATTACTTCATGGTTCCTGTCCTGGAGTGCACCATAAAATTATTTTAAAATGTAAATTCTTGCTGTGGCTTTTCAACAGACCCCAACATCTAACAGCAAGTCAACACAGATTATCCAAGGTACTGAGTTGATGCAGTGTTACAGTCAACTGAATTGGTGCTGGTGTGGACTTGATGTAGCCAGGTCTCCCAAAATACATTATAAATGAAACCACAAGCATCAGTGGTGGAAGAAAGCCACCAGAACTATTAGTAATCTTTGAGTTTATTATTTTGATTATTAGTAGAATTATTATTTATTCCCAAATTTAATTACTTAATGACAAATTTAATTTATTATTTCATTTCATTTTAGAACTCTTGGAATTCTTTAGGTATCATCTCATCTCCTTAAACAAACAGCTTTATGATGTGTATTTATTGCAGTGCAACAGTCCATGAAGAATGAAAAACTTTCTTTTTTGAGACTCACCAAGATGGAGAAGATAAGGGCAGCAATTCCAAGTGGCAGGCAACAGCACAACATGGTGAAGATGGAGTAGCCCAAGTAGTCATTGACGGGGTTAGCTAGAGGACCCTGAGCCACATACACTGTGGGCTGGACCACGACAGTACCCTGCTGAGGTGCAGGGTACTGTCCACCCATGGGATGAGCTGGCTGTCCATATCCTGCCCCTGCAGGCTGTCCATATCCTGCCCCTGCAGGCTGTCCATAACCTACTCCTGCAGGCTGTCCATATCCTACTCCTGCAGGCTGTCCATATCCTACTCCTGCAGGCTGCCCGGGATAACCCTGCAGGACACAGAGGTGAAATAAGACCAACTCATTTCCAGTGAAAACGAAACAGGTGGTTGAAGTGGAAAAACGGGTTGGATAAGTGATTTATGGAAAAACGAGACTGTTGTTGATAGAGGTTAAGTATAGAAGGAGTACATCTTACCTCGTCTTTAGATCTCTCTATATTATATATATATATATATATATAAAAACTCAGCAGGATGAATATCATAATAACACAACCGAACGAACCGATGGGAAAAGTCATGATTACATAATAACATTGTTTAGCAGTCTATAGGTAAATAGAGAAAATATAACTAACGTTTTTATTGGATTAAATACCTCTCTCTCTCTCTCTTTTTTTAGATTGTCTTAAAAAATGTGTCTTTAAATGTGCTGGTTACCTGCAGTGGATATCCAGGGCCAGGGTTACTGTCGTCCTGGTAGGGTGGAGGGGGCGCTTGGCCCATGGAGGACTTTTCACTGGACCATCCCGCTGGTGGAGCGCATGGGTGTTTCCCCGAATCCATAATGCAACTTCTAGGTTTTCACACAAAAAAGAAAGTCAGCCTTGTTTTTTTGGCGCCGGGTTCGCGTATAGCTTACTTCTCTAAAAATATTTAATAATTTTTTCCCTTTTTTTTCCCCCTTACCAAGCCCTTTTGAATTTTACAGCTGAACACGGTCCGCTACACGTCGTAGTCCTATTCCAAACGCTTGACAGTCAGCGTAGCCCCTCGTCGAGCATTGCATATCACACTTCCGCTTTCAAATTAAAAGAGCTGCGGAGCATATTCGCGGTTTTATTTTATCTTGTACCTGCTCATGCCGCGGTATTTTTGGTCTTGATCAATATTGGTCATAATGAGAAAACTGAAAATACAAAAGTAAAACAAACAAACAAACAAAAACAGCTGGGTCTGTACTCGATTTCACAACTTGAATTTGATTATGGTTTTCAAAATTAAATGCCTTATAGTTAACATATAAATGTAATTTACACGCACCTAGGAAAAATGCATAGGACAATGTGCTTCAAAAGGTCCCCCTGCGATGCTCAGGTCCTGCTGTAATGTAATTTTAGTCCGTCGTTAGGTGGTTGCCAGGCAAAGTGGGTGCGTCATGACTTGTCATGGTAGGGATTATGGTTGGAGTTAAAGTGACGTGATGCTTTAAGATAAGTCTTGGGTTCATACATGTTTAAAATTTGTAATTTTTAGTCCGTTAGTTGGTGGTTGTTAGGAAACGAGATGATGCCTGCTTTTCTATGTAGGCTCTGGAAACAGGTGAAGAGACAATATAGAATGAAAACAAGCTTATTTTTACCCTCAGCCTCCACAGACACATGTACAATTTAACCAAACCAATCTTATGATTATATGGGTCACACGAAACACATATCAACAATAAAACCCGGAAAATACCTATCTATAGCCACAAAAACACGTATAATTTCCACATCCAAAATGGTGTCTCCGTCTTGTTTCTTTACGGTCTTCAACGCAGTACGCTTTTATTTTGTGAATGCAAATATGCTTAATTTCCAGTCTCAATAGCTGGCTGGACATATGTAAATCAGGACCTATAGAGCCTATAGTATGGGTCGGCTCGGTGGGCATAATCAGGGGTGACGGTCTCTCACAAAAACTGCGAGTTAACTGGAAAACAGCCCTTTATGTGAATAACTGAGAAATATTATGGTCCTATGGTTTGAAGTTGTCATACAGTTAATTAAAAGAACGACTCATGTCGAGTTCTTCTCTGTAGATTTACACACCATGTAGTTTTGTTACTCAAGTATTTAAGTCTGTATCTCACGGGTAAACACGAGGGCACCGCATGATTGGAAGGCTCATTATGCGGTCTCACTACCTTAATCAGGCAGGGGGAAACAGATTGTCCACTAGATGGCGACAGAGCATGTCTAATAAAGAAGAAAGAACATGGCTATGAAGGCCACTCATTATACTTCTATTCATTTACTTACTTTGAAAACCCCTTTAACGCTTACACAAGATGCTTTATGTGAGCTCCCTTTTTGATATAAAAACCAGCACAACTATTTTCAAACAATAAAAGTGAAAAGACAGCACTTTGTAACCAGCTTTTACGTCCCCTCAAGTCATCTTAAAAGACAGAAGCTACGGAAGTTTCTGGATTGTTTTTGTGGATGCAGTGGCACCCTGTGTTCACTGAACATAGGTAATGTGAGGATTTCCACTTTAAGGTTGTCTGTTTTTTATCCCACGACACAGTGACACATTTTTATTTATTTTTTGTTCATTGTATACTTTTTTGTTGTCTTTTTCACCCTTGTATACGGCGACTTCAACCTCAAATTCTTTTCTACACATTTTTTCCAACAGATGAGGAAATCAACAGTTGATACAGGGATCTGCTCCCATCTCACCCTGTCCCTAGCATCCTCCGGTCACATGTATGTCCTCCTACACTACATCCATGAATCTTTGTGGTCTTTCTGCCCCCCGACCGCTCCATATTCAACAGCCCTATGCCTCGTTTACACATTTCCAGCTATTCCTCTCCAAATTGCTCTGATATGATCATTTCTATCTTGCTAATCCTTTTCACTCCCAGTGAAAATCTTCATTCTTCTACTACTTCCAGACCGACCTCCTGCCTTCATCCAAACATCATAGCAGGTCTCACTACCACTTTCTGTCACAAACCACCTCTGACACTCATCTCCACCCACTTCACCCTGCCTGCACTGTATTCCCCACCTGTGTTGTAAACTGTCCGTTGCGTCAGAACGTTGACCCAAGGTATTTAAATTCATCTACCTTCACTACACCTACTGCTTGCAGATTGTTACACCCATGAGGTGAATCTTTCCAATTCTTTACTCCTTAAAACATCTTTCAGAAAATCAGACACACAGCGTACAATGAGAAGCGTATCCAGTTAAGCCTCATTCAGTTGTTGGAAACAACACAGCTCACTCTCAACAACTACATCATTCTTGTCTCTGTATTACTGCCTTCGGTATACTGGTATTGTACAGCAGGCCTTAATTTGAAACTTCATAAAAAGCCCCTTTGTAAAAAAGTAAGAAGTAAAGAGCACATAAGTGTTTCAGCATTTCTTTTATAGAAACATGACTCTCTGAACAGTGCAATCCACTACACTCTTTCAAAAGGCAAAACATGGAAACGAACAGATTTTGATGAATTCCCAGCAGCACCCTAATTACTCATGAATACATGGATTTCATATAATTCACACAAAAGCACAGACACAGGGTTAGGCCGGCCACAGTAAGTGACTAACATCTACATCAATGTTTGACTCAGACATACAGTACAGGTATGAGGAGTAATGTGAGACATTTATTTGGGAATAGGTTTGTGCTACTATTTTACTTAGATACATTCAAAACTACTAACATAAAAAAAAAAAGACCTATGTGTCAATGACCAATTTCTGTCGTGAGCAGCTGGGTATCACAGCTGGTTAATATCGATTTATTCATTTTTATTTTTTATTTTTACACAGTGTGCAGTATCACAAAAGGTAAACTGATTGAAATGAAAGTGGCAAAACCGTATATATATATATAAATGTTTTTGAACATGGGTGTATGGGTTGAGGGGCGGATTGAAGATCAGTAGCTCAGGTAGAAAGCGCCACACCTCAGATCAGGTGCACACAGACTACTCTTTGTTTATCTCTCTAAATAAACAACAGTAGGGTGTTGTGGGTTGTCACGAGTCCCAGTGCTCATCCTCTGCGGTGTCTGTTGCTTGCAGATTTGGGAAGTCGGTGTGTTCTGGCTGACATCTAGCAGTCGCAGGAACGACCTACAGAGACACACACAAAGGAAAGCATGGTTGACTTTCTTCCTGAAAATATGATCGCCAACATGAGGCACAAACGGGGTCCTTTAGTAGGGTCTGCATGACTTTGCTTTAATCTGCAATATAACTCAAACTGCATTTAAAAAAAAAAAAAAATTAAACCTCTGTAGCCTTTAGAGAACACTGTGACAAAACATTGCAGATTTAACTGGGATCTTGTGACAGCAGTAAACATATTTAGAGAAGTAACTACTGAAAAGTGTGACTTTTTTTTATTAGGCATTAAAAAAAAAAGGAAAGAAGAAGCAAAATACTTAAAAAACAAACAAAAAACACCCCCCAGCTCAACCCCATCATGGCAAGTGAGGCCGTAACAACGCAGCAATCATAATTTTATGTAAAATGATGAATGTTTGTGGCTCTTTGTAGAAAATCCACTCTTTGTTATATGCTGCTCATCATCTGAGAATGAACGTCAGAAAGAGGAAGAGTGTGTGGGCCTGTGAGTGGAAACTGCCTATCAGTGCAGTATGTCCCTGTGGGATCCTGCTGAGTTGCCTGTATACACACCCAGTGTTTTTTTCCATATGGGCCACCTGTGTGTTTGTCCTATATTAAAGCTGCTAAAATCAAAACAGCTTGGCCTCAGTATCAACAGCTCCAACACAGAGTATACAAATTAACAATATTTCTGAGTTAAAAAAAAAAAAAAAAAACGCTAAAAAATGCAAAGTTAAATGAAACAGCAGTACTTTTTGCCTTCCTCTCTCCTTCCCTTCTCTGCCTGCCAGACTCCCAGAGTCCCTGCACCTGTTGAACAGCGAGATCTGTGCCATCACAGTCCAGCACTATGAGCGTTTTCCATTCTGTGTCAGTGTGTGCGTGCGTGCGAGAGACACATGGGGATGTCTACAGTGAAGCAGATGGACCGAGTATATATAACTTGAGATCTAGGCAGGATGCCAAGTGGGTGATAAAATTGTGAATATGTTAATAAGAGAAGAAGTTGTTTATCCGGCTTCACACAACTCATAGGTATGCATTTAAAAGCAGAAATGTCCTATAAAGGAACAAAATATTCCATTTCCAATATTTATAACTTCATCACATGACAGGACATCAAACTTTTTTCCTCTTTTTCCACTCAGTTTAACTGTCTAATGAGTGTTTTTGTTATAAACATTTATGTGGTTGTTCCCCCACTTAGAAGAACTTTATCTTTGCTCTCTGAGAGGAGCCTGCACACTGTGCCGAATGGGACTTTAAATGGACTGGCCTGTAATCGGACACATGTGAGGCTGACCAGTCAGTCACTGATTCAGGGTGAGAATGCTGGACAACAGTCTCTGGCCGGTCGACTGGTGCACCTTTAGTTTGTGAACCAGTTAATAAGGTAAAGAGTGTTGTTAATCAGGATGTATGCATTACCTTGATCGGTAAGCATCTGCTGAGCATTGCTTCCTGTCCTCCGCCTGCAAAGAGAAGCAAGAATTCAAGAATTGGGGTTGAAAAAACAAAACAAAAGCCTAACATGACTTGCAAAATAATATTTGATATGCGGTGCCATTAAGGTCCGTCGACACTGGAAGTGCTTTGTTTCTTGTGCATTGCTTTGAAACTGAGGGCTGGTTGCAGATATTCGAGGCTCCAGTTGTCAGGAGTATCCTGTGCTCTCATTGGCAGTTGCTTCAATCGCTTAGCTGGAAGTGCCACACAAAATGTGAGAAAAGTTTATCTCAGGTCCTGGCCGCTTCATGTTGCCAGCGGTTATTTAACCTGTAGTCACTTGTAGTCAAATGTGATCACTTTCTGTGGTCTCTGGTGGGCACATTGCTGCAAAACATTTCCAGTGTGGCCGCAGCGTTAGTTTACTCCTGTTACACAGATGTTTTTTAAATATTTCGATGACAGATCACCTCTTGTTCTGGTTGAACTTGCACCTGCAGTGGCCGCCTGAAGTGAGAGAAAAGAAGCAAAGATGTCTGCGTGCCTTTGATGGAGTCTATTTATAGCTGTGCATATATTTGTATAATGCATGTATCTGTGAGTATTTTGCCACTTACTGAGAAGGATGGTGATGCCAATGAGACAGAGAACGGCAGCTAGGATGAGGCCTCCGACACGCAGTCTGTGATAGTCTGCACGAACACATCATGTTAGCCATTAGACAACAACAACAACAACAACAACAACTTGAAGTAAAAAAAAAAGTCAAACAAAAGGTCAAGACTGAAATCGATGCACCAACAAGTAAATAAATATTATAGACATTTACCCAACAATATTTATATTGCATTCTTCTTTTATATAAGGGTGCAACAATCAATATAAGGCATCATCTTCTTACTTTAATCAACTGACATAAGACAGTAATAAATTTACAGATAATTACCAAAGGTGAAGGGGTCATCTTCCGCTGTAGGAACAGAAATAAAGAGGATCAGTTAAAAGCAGACACACGGGAAACATTCAGACACATCTAAATAGTGTTATCATCAGTGGTATTATCAGAGTTACTAAATCGTGGCATGCCTAAGTGTCAGGAGGACAGGTTTCAAACATTAGGCTCTATTGAATCTGACGTCCAGGACTGTACTTACCGTTCTGTTCTTCTGCGAACACCAGGGACACAACTGCAAGGGATCAGACACAACAGTGAAACAGAGCCAATCTTGTGCTGCTGATAAGAGATCTTGAAAGTGGAAGCTGATGTTAAACTATTTCATGCAGCATTCAAAGAAAGGCAATGAAATTCTCTCAGTGGCAATTCATAAATACCCCTTAAAGCTTTCGTATTTAAAATTATAAATAAAGCTCCGTTTCACCAAATATCATCTCTAGTTTCCACTTGATGAAGCCTCGCTTCATTACCAATGGAAACTACACTGTCAGAAATTAGTTCCACATACGGTGCTGTGAAAATGTACTTCCCCCCCACTTCCTCATTTATTGTTTTTTTTTAATGTAACATATTAATGACACTTAAATGTTTCTGATAAAACATTTTATTTTTAGACAAATATAATCAATGTGAATACTAAAATGCAATTTAAAAAAAAAAAAGAAAAAGGATTTTATTTACCATGGGAGAAAAGTTACCCAGACCTATTTGACCCTGTGAGAAAGAGTTTGGTTTGAGGTCACAATAAAATATCTCGATCAGTTTTCACTCAAGATTGTTTTTTGTGTGTGTTTTTTTTTTGTGTGTGTGTGTGTGTGTGTGGATGTGGGGGGGGGGGGGGGGGGGGGGGGGGGGGGGGGGGGGTTGTATTTTGAGCCATTCACAGGTGGACACGTGGTATATCTAACTGAAGTGTTCTTGAGCTTTAGGACATGAGCTGATGGATGGACATTCTCCTTCAGGACTTTCTGGTAGAGAGCAGAAAGCAGCCCAGACCAGCACACTACTGCCACCATGTTTGACTGTTAGAATCTCGTCAGTGTTTAGAATATTTTCTGCAAAGTTTTGGGGGTCATCAAGTTTTTTTGGTAAATGTGAGAAGAACCTTTGGGTTCTTTCTGGTCACCGGTGGTTTTCTCCTTAGAACTCTCCAATAGACGCCATTTTTGCTCGATCTTTTTCTTGTTGTTTAATCATGAACTCTGACCTTAACTAAGACTAAGTGAGGCCTGCAGTTCTTCAGTTGTTGTTATGATTTCTTTTGTGACTTCCTGCATGATTTCTCCAATCATCAAGTATTTTTTAATTTATGATTTAATAATTGAGGCAATTACTTTTTCACACAGGTAGGTTTGAATACCCTTTCCCCTTAATAAATTACATCATCATTTAAAAAGTGCATTTTGTATTTACCCAGGTAGTCTTTGTCTAGTTTTTCAATTTGATGTGCAAGAAAAAGGAAAATCAGAAAGAAGCATATACTTTTACACAGTACTGCATTACTGTAAACCTAATTAGACCAAGACTAAAATGGTGACCAGATGATATCTGTAGCCACTCATGAACTCTGCTGTCTATTTTCTCCCCCCACCACGTTATCAGGAGTCCTCAAATATTTGTACAATGTGCTGACAGGAGAGAGACTTGCAAGCTCTGTTAGAAGGAAGTGAAGCTAACTGGTCATGCTTTCCGATTTAACAAATGAATGAAAATAACTTAAGTTTCTCATTTTAGAAAAAGAAAAAAACCCAAAAAAAAACGTGATACAATTTTTTCCCCCACACTATATTAAAAGACTTGAGTTTTACTTACTTGTCATTAACACCAAAACACAGATCTTCAACATCTTCAGGATTTACATAAGGACAGAAACACAAGCTCTAGTTAGTTGAAACATCCAGAACTTCATGTTTCACTTGTGCATGCATGTTGACTGAAACCATTAACTTCTAGTCAGTACAAGGCTCTGGCTAGTACCAGCCAACAAAGTCAACAGACATGATGCAACATTTAGCCTCACAGTATTTTCTGAGGGGCAGTAAAAGGACTAAACACACAGAGATACGCTTACAGGACATGCATCTGTCCCCTTTGAAGCACACACAAAGTCAAATGATCAAATTCAAATGGATACAAAGTGGCCCCTCCTGCTTTATTTTCACACACAGAAACTTGAGCTGATGTTGATGGACACAAAGTGCTCTAATGGAGCCTCAACAGGAGAATTACATCTCTCGTGCATACTGCATTGCACTGCTGCCATCTTAAAGCACCGAAGCATTAATGTTCTATAGCCTGAATATAGACCACATTCTAATGTCATCATGCATTATATATTGTGTGGCCACAGCTATGGTGACTGTCCATGTGTTTGAAGTTTCCTGTCAGTTTTTTTTAAGTCTTCTTTGTAAAATAGCTTTCACTTGCAGATAAACAGGATAAATCCACAAGAATATGGTAAGTGCACTCAAACTTCACAGCTATTTCTGTCTGAAAAAACAAGAACAAAACAACTGAATTCAACTTTTTTTTTTTTTAAAGGTGAACTGTGCATTGGCCAATTGAGCCATTTCTACTGTTGCCTGAGGAGCTTGGAAGAAAAGCATCTGGACTTCTTTAAGTTTCTTGAAGACGTTTCTCCTCTCATCCCAGAAGCTTCCTCAGGTCTAGGAGCAATGGTGTTCCCCTAGAAGTGAAGAAGATTCTCGGATGAGAGGTGAAATGTCTTCAAGAAACTTGGAGAAGTCCAGATGCTTTTCTTTCCAAGCTCCTTAGACTAAGACGACCTAGATACATCTATAAACTTGTGTCACTGTTTATAGAGAAATGTATTTCCAGAGAAGGGCACCCATATTAAACACACTATCTGAGGTATTTGTGCTGTGTGAGGTGGAATATCGGAGCAGGGATATCATGTGCTCTCAGAAAGGACACGCCTTAACCCCCTGCCCCTGAAAGGAAAAAAACCAGGGCAGCGATTTTCCACTTGACATAAACATTCACACATTGGAAACCTTTAAAAAGTCTGGCATCCCCTGACATCTTGAGACAATGGGTTGGTCTGAGTTTTCAGTCATAGACTATAAGACTTTTGCAAAGATCTGGGATCTTGACAGGATTATTTTTTTTTCCTCCCAAGACTGCAACGAGATTCTTTTTGGGATTATTCTCCATCATGCTCCTGGTGGTGATTTACAAGAAGAAAAGCTGTTGATCCATGGGGGAGAAACAGAAGCAGCGTTTAGTAACGACTGCCTTGGATTGAATGTTGTTTGCATGAGGCCAGACACAAAAGTTAAGATAACATTAAAGAGAGAGGGCTCCGACTGAGCTTTGCGGCCACCTTACACCAAACAAACCAGATGGGGGACACAAATTTAGCAAAACTGTCATGTATGCCCTGCAGCATTTGTCTGTGAACTGAAAGGCTGCCATAAGAGGAGATCTGAGTGCACCCCTAGTTACTTGTCAAATTTGATGCCCCACTTAGCTTGTCTAAACTGTCCTGAAACCAGTAACAGCTTACCACTTACCCCCCTCTGTTTTTCATGAAACTACTATTTCCTGTAATTTCATGAGAAATTATTGATTTTCTCCACCATACTTGATATGGGAAAGACTATCTTTGGATTTTGGACTGACAGACAAAAACAGACACCTGCCAATGATCTGATGGGTCTGTGAGAAAATCTGTATTTTTCACGTGTCATTTTATATACAAAATGATTAAATTGGTCAATTAATCTGGTATCTTCTAGCATTTTTGCTTGTGTGAAAGGGAGACATGGTGGTCACTATAAAGAATGTAAGCAAGAACAATGTGTCTCCCTGTTCAGCTGGTGGTATTTCGGAGTTTGGCAGCAAAGAGGAGAAAAAGAAGATCAGGACGAGCGCCTCCATCACAGTGCCTCCCCACAGCAACCCAAGTCGAGCCAGGGGGAATGCACAGTTGCTGGAAATAGGCCAACAACCACTGGAGAATGGTTTACCTAGTTAGAAAGGCACCGGGGGAGAGAGAAAGGTGGGAGAAACAAAGACAAAAGCAGACAGAAAGACAGTAAGAGAGAACAAAGATGGAAAAAAAAGAAGGGCAGCTGAAAGGTCAGGCAGGGGAGAGAAAGGTGGCGCCTCCCAGCGCCTACTGAAAGATCATATTCTAACGCAAATGTTAGTGTAGGGTGGGGCGAGGCAGTAAGTGATGAAGGTGTGTATCCCAATCATTGTGTTCATGACTTGCAGAAACATAAGAACAAACCACCTGGTGTGTAAGTAAAGTGTTCAAACTTGGCCAGAATATGCGGATTGTTCATGAATAACTCACATTTACACAACTACTAGATTTTTCATGTATAAAAAGAACAAGAAAAGCTGCAGATCTTCAAATTGTAAATGCTGGAAACATCAATCTATATTGTATTTTTGTTTAAAAACCTACAAGAGTCACTGGCTAATCATCCTGTTGTTTCTGACCTAATTTAGTTATGGTTTCAGGCCACTTGGAAATTACAAATGTTTCCAGAGAACCACTAAAAACCTATATTCACAACTGCGGGCACCAACTCCCCGTGGAGCTTCTTCTGCTCCAAGGATAAAGAGCTTTCTGTTCTGGCTCTCCCCGCCTGTCTCCGACTATCCCTCGCGTTTTGTTGTCAGCTCTCGGAGCATCCCTCTCCCTCCTGACCTCGGGAGTGCTTTACACTCCGTCTCATGCTCTCTTGCTGCGTCCTTTCACCCATTGCTTCTTTCACTTCATCTTCTCTGTCCTCATCAGAAAGCGTTCAGCAATCGCATGTTTGTTTAAACACTGCTGTTTCATACAGCTCTTCTGTTTTTTAAGCTCCTGTTACCCTTCCAGTGCCCTCCAGTCAGTTTAGACCTCTCGTTTATTCTACACTCTTCAGTTCCTGGACACGCTTCGTCACGTCCTTGCACTTTCCCCAGCATTCTCTCGTTTATCCCTTCCCTTACAAATTCCCTTGAAGATAGGCTCTCTACTCTATACACTCGAGCCCATCGTGAGCTTCCCTTTTCCGCCCAACACTCCTTCTCCTCCCTTTTCTACAAGTGAGGTTACGCAATAAACTTCAGCTACGTTCCACTTCGACTTCTGCTAACAAGTAAAGCTTCTGCAAACTGATTTTTAAGTAACGTGAACATTTTGTGATCAGAATTTTTCTTTGTGTTGGTGCTACTGCAGGAAAGATCGTGAGAATCCAAAATACACAAGGAGCGCTCCTCGGCTACCATTCAGTGTCAAGAAGATGATCTTTGGGGAATGAAATGAGCAAAGCACACAAACATGTGAGCACCTCGGCTTTGAATGTGAGCCAACTGCCAGTTCCACCAGATCATGCTTAAGCTGCTTAACTATGTTTTGAGCCATGAGGGTAAAGTACAAAATGAATCAGTGATACAAGTACGCGTGTATGAAAAACACACGCATGCAGTACGTTATAACTACACTCTAAGTGTTAATATCAGAGCTTCCTCTACTGTGTGTGTGTTTACAGCATGTATGACTTGGTTTCTGTCTTCTAACAATCCCCCCACCCCCCGTCCACCTGTTTGAATGCTGGACACTGGTGTGCTTGGGGGTCATGTAATGCACTACAAAGCCAGCTGCCTATTTTCAGAGGCATTTTTTTATTCCTAAATTAGAAGCAGTGAATTCCAGTATGCAAAACATCCTGTACGAGTCACACACCCACAGGGAAGTCTTTGTCCTCGAAGAAACACACTGCACACAGTGTGAACCTGCTTTAACCAATACTTTTCCTCTACTTGCCCAAGACAGAGCAGAACCTCCCTTCACTTTGTGACTCCGGCGTTTGATGATTTTCCCGAAACGAAAGGCTGGAAATGAAATGTGTGATCACAAATGCAAGCTGAAAACAGCAACCACAAAATGGGCTCCGTTGTTGCAAAACTGTGTGGACTCCATTGACAAGTAAAGAGAAACAAGCAACAGAGAAAGGAAGGAAGAGGCATGAGGTGGAGGAGATCAGCACTGGCAAAGAAAATGAAAGAGTGACAAAACTGAAAAAAAAGGGAAAGAAATACATCACATGACATAAAGTTTTGAAGTAGGATTTAAGCTGACAGTGAGTGGGAGAGAGGAAGATGAGGGAGAGTGCGGTTGGGTAAGAGAGGGGAAGAGGAGGGACACAGAGAGGGAGTGGAGCATACTAAAGCCATGAATCACTCATGGAAACCACAGTGAGCGGCTAGAAACAGTCTTTATGTTGTAGAGTCATACTCAGCAGATCAACAAAGACAGTACATTTCCATAATTTAACCTCCTCTTACACCCATCAATCTCCCAAGTGCTGACTAGCAGCTGCTCAAAACAAACTTTTTTGGAAGACCTCTATCATCTGTTTCTCTTCCAACACTATCCCAGAGAAGGAAAGGAAATGCTCTGAAGGTCACAGTCACATGGCTGATCTAAAATCAATGTCTTCTTGTTGCAGTTTCTAAATTTGTGTTTGTCAGCCACTGAACTGATGCAATTAGGAAAGGTGAGCAGCAAGTGTGCCACCTAAGAGCTCTTCCTCGTCCTCCCTTTTCTCTCCACTGCTGGTCCCGTTTTCTTTTTAGGCTTTTGTAATTTACATGAGGAGGAGAGGACGTCCAGACAAGTCTGTCTCAGCTAAGAAAGGAAAGAAAACGCCATTGCAAATACTTTGACTATATAAGTGAAGTTATTATCATCACAAGATCATCTTATTTAGCTTCTGTCCTGTCTTCTTACCATCTCTTCTATTATATCATCAGCCTATTATCCTAATGTTTGCCCCCTAGATTATATCACTGGAAAAACAGGGAAGAACTGTTGGGAGAGAGTTGATCATCATTTTCCACAGAGTACATTTGCTCTGCAACACTCCCATCACGTCTTTGCACAACACATTTCACAGCCTCACTGTGGTTATTTGGTTCTGTGGGGGCTTTATTTTGGTGGAAAGTTAACTTATTTGCTCCATATCTGAATTCCTTGTGCTCTTGCAGAGTCTTCTTTGCACATGCACAGTCTGTATCTGAAACCATGACGATCAAATGATTGCTTTGATAAATTAGCAGCATGCTATGCATGTCCTGTGCAACATAATCTGACTGCCTGTGTCCTTGTCCCACTCTGTCTGTCCTGGTGGCACACAGTCACTTCTGCTCTTATCAGCTGGTCACACATACCATTTTGCAGTCCTGTTAAAAAAAAGACCGTGTATACAGCCTACAGTATGAGCACGTTAGAAAAGTCTAAAGTAGGAAAGCTTACAACCGAAAACAGAAAAATAATGTGCGCTTTTTAAAAATCCAACTCCTTATTGGTGCGATAAAATATGCCGCAAATATTCCTTTGAGTTTTTCCTCTTATCTGATGAATTTAAACAAGGACCTATCTACAAAAAGCTGGTGTACATTAAGCCTGTTGAGCACTTAAAAAAATAGCAAAGAAGGTGATGGACACACGCACGCAAATAAGCGCGTGCAGTCCCGTTGTCCTGGCACTGGTGGGCTCGATGGAAACGGCCAAATAGACGTTATAGGCGCCTGACGCTCTGCTTTTCCGCCAACGTTGTATTTGCTCGTCTTATTTGAACCTTTAAGTGTAGAAAAACACAATAACAAAGTTTTCCCCCCAAAAGTTCTTCTTTTCTAAGATGACAACCTAAATGTGACGTGACCCTACAATTAGCCCGGAATGAGATTAACGCTTTCAACTGACGAAAAAAAACGTAACTTCATCAACAAATTTCCGCAACTAAGGATAGACGAGGGCGTCACTGCTGTGAGAAATGTGAGCTAATTTATTTGTTTCGGCACTTACCTTTGTGTTTAGCAGCGACAAGCAAATCACAAGGAAATTTCTCACGAGCGGACGGATACGTGACACTGAAACTGCGACTTCTCTCCACGCGCTGCGCCAACACCCTGCCTTCAGCACTCCGTGACACTCTACAGGTTGGCTGGGTTTTAGGGAAAAGGGGGCAGAGTTTAAACTGCTGGAGCTTTGTTGCCGTATCCTGATCCCAGGTCAGTTTTTGGGGGTTACGTTTGTCAGCAGAAGGGTTGGCGGCTGGAGAAGAGCTGGGTGTGGAAGCTGATCCAGAGTCAGTTGTAGGCGCAGAGTTGGAGAGGAGGGGAATGTTTGCTTGTGGAGAAGGAGACGAGGTTTGTGGGGTCGGGGTTGGCTTTTCCTCCGCTCTGTGATGTATGTTTACAAAAACGGGCAGTAATAATTTTACAAGTACTGTAATAATAGCATTTGTCACCATTACAGTTGAATATGAAATAACGTCTTATTTTACTGCTGGAAATGAAAGTTTGCTAATTTGCTGTAGGGAAGTTATGAAAATGAGACTCTTGGTTAGTGACACCGACATTTATTTTGACTTTAATTTCGAATTGACTCAGGATATTTGACAGAATACACTTTTCATGATTATTCCAATAGTTTAGAGTTTGACAGCATCAGTATGGACAACTGATCAAAACAGCAGGTAGTAATGCTAAAATGCTAACTGTGTATTACTTAATCAGCTTTACACAATATTAATAACTAAAGAAGCACCATATGGCAGACTGGATATGATGCATGGATGAGTGTGTATTTACAAAAATAAACATCAACGTATCAGCACAGAAGTGGACATTTACTTTTTCTCTTTGCATCTCCTTCTAGCAGACTGGAAGGAAGTGATGTCAAATTTGAGCAGTACTTGATTAAAAAAAAAAAAGGATGTGTCTTCACACAGGTATCTGAGCAGGTGAGCCTCCTCTGAACCCCCCTGCTCTCAGGAGGCAGTCAATCTCTCCGCCCCATCTCCTGCCAGCTCTTCTTTCAAGGCCAAAACCAGTTTGTCAAGCATCAGATCAGATTTCACTGCTGTTGTCAGTATGTTTTCTACAAAGTGACAGAGGAGCGAGAGGAAGTAATTAGTGAAGTTTCAACAGAAAGACGGAGATGGAGACAATAAATAAGAGTCACTCAATTAGGGCTGTCCCAAACGATTATTTTGATAGTCGACTAGTCACCGATTATTTTTGCAATTAGTCGACTAATCAGAGCATGCATCCATTGAACGTAAAACGTACAGCTCATTGCACCAGCATGCATCTGCTCTTATATAACTATCATTAGCTTACAGCTTTAAGTGTTTAAGGTCTGTGCTAACTAAAAATAAAGACACGATAGTTTATTAAATTTAACTGAAATTTGCAGATTGTTTTGGTGGAGTTTAATAAACTCAGCTGTCTGCTCCCTGCTATCTAAAATATAACAGGACACCGGAGTATATTCTCGAGCATCTCACACTTCTGATAATCAGTTGTCTGTTTGACGTTTATTCAGCTGTGTAAAAACTATAACTTTAATCTCAGCCAAACCGATTTACTCAGGAACAAATACTGAAAAAAGCCAAACACTAACATTTTTAAGTTATCTAAGTGACTTATGTATGTTTAACCTGAGTAGCGAAAGACGGTGCTGGGTTTGAAAACGATTTCCCTGGAGTCCGGTGTTCTCACGGGCTCTAGTGAGCCTTGCCCCCGGCTAGCTATCGAGCTAGTGGGTAACAGACGTCTCTGAAAACGTCGGAGCGCTTTTGAAAATATGTGGTGTCTTGATAAACTGAGCCGATATTTGAGGTTTACACAGCTACATTAACATAAAATATGTTAAACGTTTATTTTGTGACCAGAAAGAATAATAAGAGTAACATTAAAACTAACTAGCTGCCGCCATTGTTGGAAACTGAGCTGGGCTGCACTATGAATTCTGGGACACAGCTTCTTCTTCTCCGGGGTTTAACGGCAGCTGGCATCCTTGTACATGCAGTGCTGCCATCTTCTGTTTCAGTCCGTTATTACACTCTTAAACCCTGCTACTTATTCCTGCGTCTTTTGGGATCTTACAAAGCTTCAAACAACGCGTCGACTATTAAATTAGTCGTCGACGATTTTGATAGTCGACGTAATCGTGACTAGTCGACTAATCGTGGCAGCCCTACTCTCAATTTATTTTACAAAGTGAGGCTTAAAAAGACACAAAAAGAAAAGCTTACCCTCTCTTCTTGCATTTGCCATCTGTGGAGAGAAACCATGATGTAGTCAGTCCCAACTCAATTACAGTGACCTTTTTTTTCTACAGAGGTTCAGAGGCACATTTTTGTCCATGTGTGTGTTTTTGTTGCGATTACAGTACTTACAAAGCAAAAAACCGATTCCTGCACTGATCAACAAGATGGCAAAGACCAGTCCTCCAATCCGTAGGCCTTCATAGTCTGTTTGATGCAAAGCAAACACATCCGCAAATCAAGCAGAGAACCAGCACATTTTCATTTATGATATGGATTAAACTGAACAGAATACACATTGTCATACTCTGTTCTTTTATAACTTTTTAATGAGCACATATTATTGATGTGGTAGATTTAAAATTGTATATGATAAAAGAAATAAGAGCATGTACACTTACTGTAAACAAATGAATCTTCAGACACATGAAGGAGGCGATATAAGAGAGGGAAAAAGAAGTTAGTGACAAATTTGAAGTAGTCGTGAAGTGTGACAGCATTTGGTTTCCTTGAACCAGAGGAAAGAGAGAATGTAAAGCAAATGGAAATAAATAAATATGGTGTGGTAATGACATTCTGTGAATTATCAGTTGAGTAGTTATTATTAGAACTAAGCAAACTGATTTATCTGCTCTGCGATGACCTTCTGCAAACAGTTTGACTCTAGAAATATTAGTCAGGGCTGCAGAAGAATGATTGTAGGGAGAAATACATTTGTGGATGGCTTGTTTATAAACCAGAACTGCGACAAACCCATTCTCAAGGTTAGGTGCACGTAGTTTTGACCTTACTTGCTTCGGCTTCCACAAAAAGGCCGAACAGCACTGCAAGAGAAGCAAGGGTGATAAAATATGAATTCTATGGATTTTATGTGGACTTTGTCTTTAATGTCATTTTCTGCATTTCTGTTTTGTTTACCTGTGAGAAAAGCCACAAGAGTGAGATGGCCCATCTTCAACACAACTGAATGAGACAGATGGAGAGAAATGGTGAGACACGATTGCGAGACATCACTTTTTCTCACATGCATACATAAGAGAGCCAAACAGCGCACGCTCTGCCCTCTCCTCGGGAAGATTGCCCTTGCCGTGTGAGAGGTCGGTGTCTCGTCAGCAGGGATGCACTCCGAGTGTTTGGAGAGTAAACAGCGGATCGCTTTTTGTTTTGGGGAGGAACCCAGCGGGTCCTTTCCCTCAGCCTACGCTCAGCTCTGCAAATGTTCATTGCAACTGGATGAATGCTGTCATGTGCTTTCCAGTATCGTTTGTTTTGGAAGTAACATGCTCAGTGGAAAAAAAGAAAGAAAAGTTTTGCAGTCTTTTAAAATGTATGGTGTCTGAGGAAATTAACCTCAGCGTCATCCCCGAGTTCTGAATGACCTTGGAAGACCCCTGGGCTGGCAAGAGTCAAGGCATTCTAGAAATTTAGCACCTTTTCTCTTATTGGCTCTTCTCTCTCTCGCTAAAAGTGATTTTCCATCACTGTTTGGATTTTTAACAGCCATGCCTCTTTTCAAACCACGCACAAAACCCAGCAAGATAAAAGACACCTCGTGCTTTTAAAACACATCAGATTTGCCTGTCAAGAAGATCAAAAAACACCTTGATGCATAAATATGCCGTCTGATTTTTTTTCACCATGCATTGATCCAAAATCACAACTGCACAGAGTGATAACGGAGTTTACCAGGAATGGGAGAATTTCTGAAAAAACCCATCAAAAATGAAAAAAACAACAACAACCCCAAAACAAACAGACCGTGGTTGCAGTGGACACCTTTCTCAGTTTCACTTCAGCTCTTTGTAAGCTATAACTTTGTAGTTCTCTATGGCTCACCGATGGACCAATGTCAGCAACAACACAAGTAGTACGAGGTAGGTAGACCGCTTGTTTGAAGCTACATTCAGGCTGCCAATGCATCGCCAGTGCACTAGAATGGCTGAACCATAATTTACCCATCAGAAAACAGAGCAGCAACACGTTTCGTTTTTACAAGATGATTGATTTGATCTATCCAGAATTGACTTTTCAATTCTGAATATGCAAAGAAGACACCAAGACAAAAAACATCCTAAATATGGAAAAAGAAAAAGTTTTGCAGTCTTTTAAAATGTATGGGGTCCGAGGAAATTAGCCTCAGCGTCATCCCCGAGTTCTAAATGACATTGGAAGACTCGGTGCATAAATGAACCAAATATCCTAGATGCCCTTAACAAGTCCACAAAACAAAAAAGATTTGCTAAGCACTCTCTTAAAGCAAGCTCAGCACACCTACACCATCACCGAACAGCAACTAAAAAGAATCATAACCTTGGCGCCTGATTCCTAAGTCCTAATTCCCATCGTGCCTCGCTGCACCATACCTGTGCTTACCTGAGCTGATGGTTCAGTAGCAGTGGTGTGTGCGGTGACAATGTTCTAAGACACTGTCTTGTTAAAAGCGTCTTTCTTATTTTACCTGACTAAGTGCTCCCTCCTCCTCCTCCTCCTCCTCCTCTTTATTTGGGATATAAACAATTGTGTGTACACGTGTCCGGTGTGGATGTGAGATTGGCTGCTGTGTTGACGCATTTACACATGTATCAGAGACCAAAGTCACTGTTGCTACATAAACATCTGCGTGTGTATGGGGATAGCAGGAACAAAGCCTGTCATAATGTCCCTCAGAGAGGACATTCTTAAACGTAGTTGAGAAACTCTGTTATATATGTTGATAGACATTATTATCATGCTCTAAGCTAAGCACTGCTTTGAACTGCAAAGGATGCTTTGACATAACGGTGAGTCGATGAATCCTTTAAATAGACTCATTTGCTGTCCCTGCTGCTTTCAGAGTGGATAGAAGTCAGGAAAATACACACAGCAACTCCCTGACAGTAGCATATAGACCACCTTGCTAGCAACAGGTTAGGTCCCTTTTGCCTTCAGTTCTTTAATTTCCAAAAGATCAGCAGTTTCTGAATTACTCAGACTGTCCGGTCATGTCTCCTTCAAAGTCACTTACATCACCTTTCGTTCTCATTCTGATGCTGGTTTGAATTCCAGGGGGTCATCTTGACCATGTCTACATGCCTAAATGCATTGAGTTTTTGTCCCAGGTTGGATTTTCTAGCGTATTTACAGAAACACTAAATCAAGTTGAAGCTTCAGCTCCCTGCACAGGTTTTTCTATGGATTTGCTACGGATTGGCTAAGCCCCTCCATGATCTTAATGTGCTTCTTTTTTAGCCCTTTCTTGCCTTGGCAGTATGTTTTGGGTCACTGTTATATCGTGAGACCCATCTACTAAAAGAGAACAGAATAGCTCTTTATTGTCATTGTACATGTACAATTTGTTCTGGCTGAGGGAAATAAGTTCTTATGGTAATCCACAACCAGTGAGGCAAGACCTTGCTTGGAGATTCATACTGAGGGCGATTGATGGTCTTTTTTATATTTCTTCCATTCCTGAATAATCACAGCAACACTTGTCACCTTCTCGGCAAGCTTCTTGGTGATGGTCATGTTGCTCAGTCCATTGTGTGTGTTTATAATCTTGTCCCTTACATCCTTTTGCACGGGATGGAAGAAATAGTTTCTGCGGACAGGTGTGCTTTGCACATATAATGAGTTGCGATCAGGATTGATTGATCAGTGGGTCACATGGGCACACAGCCAAGCTGTGGGAACCAGAATTCTGGCTGTTATTCGAGATCAAATACTTATTTCAGTCAGTGACATGCAAACCGTTTTATAACTTCTATGTAATGTGTGTTTCTGGATTTTTGTTTTATATGCTATCTCTTTTCATTAAAAAATTAAAATACCATAAAAAGTAGAAACTGTTCATTTCTTTGGAAGTGGCAAAACTTACAAATTCAGATATCAAGTAAGAATTTTTTCCTATTTTCTACTATATTCATTTATATACATTTTTTGTATAGTGTTATATATTTATCAATTTTTATGTTTGAAAGTAAAATTTTGCCTGAATTATTAAGGCTTACCTCTAAATGTAGCCTTAAATAAAGACATGCTGGTGTGAGCCTTTGTCATACATGTTAT